AAGAGGGTTAAAGAGGTATCAAGTGATCCAACACCCTAATACAAGTTTTCAACTTCCGCCTTACCTGTCTGGGTATGATACTGCCACCGCCATGTTTTACTGGAAGTTGGTATGTTCAGAGGGATATTTTTTCAGCCACAACTATATTACATTAAGAAATAAAAGCTATGTTTTGGTCTCATCTGTCCAGATAATTTCCTCCACCGTTCGGTTTTTCCCAAAATTGCTTCAAAATATAATTCTCACAAATTTCTTTGGTCATTTACTCTCTTATTACCTGAGCTGAGGATCTCTCCAGCTTCTCCAGAGACACCATAACTGACTAAACTGTTTCTTCAATCAATGCTCAGATCTCCTTGTCTGTGTGTAAAATATAATCTAATGTTGTCTGTGTAGTGCAACCCACTGCTTTTTTATTATAATTTTTTTTTTACAAGAGTCAGAAAACAAAATGGAAAAGCTGCACTTGGTCTGCACTACAGTCCCATGCAAACCATTTGGTGGTGATGTGGTAATCTTGTAAACATTTAACTGCTCCACACTGGCTGCAGGAAACAAAGGATAATTAGTTCTAATAAAGTGAAATGTACTCTTGTGAGTAAATGTGCCACAAGCCACTGTATCTCTCTGCATACAATTCCCCAAAATCACAAGTTTGTATTGATTTTAAATATTGGATACAAACTCAAGAAATCAGAGTCATAAACAAAGACATGTTCAACCATATGCACCAATTAAAGTCTGTAATTAGATCTTTGGACTAAAAGAGAACATCAAAAAATCTCCAATGCGCTTCTTTCAGCTGTTTTTCCCCTCCTGGCTATCTCTGCAGGCTCATCCACTCTAACACTCTCCCCTCTGATCTTTACTTGTGTTCCTTTGGCCCACATCATTACAGCCTCCTCTTCAGCCTGAAACGCTCCCTATTAACAATGTGCTGTATGTTCGTCACGTTGCACGCATTCCCAACCGAGGAGGATATAGCTGCGATTTAAGGTCCCGCTCCCACCCTGCAGCTTCCACACCTCTCTCTTAGCTGCTGTTGTCAAGACACCCGCACTGTCGTGATCAGAGAAGTGTTGGGGGTGCAAATATGGTGTGCAATCTAACGCTCCAACCAAGTGACACCGAAAGCTATGTGTGTATGCAGGCCTTATCATCATTATCTGGTCCTGTTCCTGCCTGTTTTGGCTGATTCAATGTGTGGTAATTAGCGAGGGTCTTTATTTAGAAATCTTTGCATAATATCCTTTGTTATTGTTTTTTTTGTTTTTTGTTTTGTTCTCTTCAGCAGTGACCATGGATTTCGAAGAAAAATAAACAAAGCTGTGTGGAGGAGTGTGCCTCATGGCTTTGGCTCTTCTTAGTGTACTCTTGTATGTTAACCCCATCAGTTCACAGCAATCCCCCAGGTGTCTTGGCTTGTCTACAGATCCAACATTAGTGACCTTATCTGTGATAATGAGTTCATTAAGTGGAAGAGAGCAGCTTTATATGGAGATACAACTGCAGAATGACTGCTTATGTGAACAATAAAACTGCATTCCACTTATCTCAAAAGTTACACATCAGGCAGACATCAAATGCAACCTAAATGTATTCTGATTAGAAATCAGAAAACCAGTGGAAATGCTGATTATTATCCACAATGACAAAACTACCTTCTTATAGCAGACATATCCGCATGTTAGGTGTTTAATGACAAAAAGAACAGGCTTACAAATTATTTTTGGTCATTATAAAGGTTTTGACTAAATAGAATCAGATACAAATCAGCATTGATGTAAAAAAAAAAAAAGATCATGAAAAGTTTTTTTCTTCAGCTAAATCTAGGTTTAAGATAAATAGACAATGTTAATATTTTAAGGGGTAAGCTTAGACAGTTTTTCAAAAAAACATTGTCTGACTGTAGTGATGTCAAAACAGGAGATTATCCAAACCACCAAATACATGGGAAGGCAGTAAGTTAAGTTTATCTATAAAGCACATTTCAGTAGCAAGACAATTTAATGCTGTACATGAAAAAAGACAAAGTACAATACAGTGGCATAAATGTAACACATATTATAAAACAGAATAAAAGTTATAAGTTTGGTACATTGATTATATAAAGAGAATTATGAAACATTGATTAAAAGGAAACTTTAATCAAGTTTATATTAATATTAATGTTTATTGAGCCATCTATTTTATGTTTATCTTAATAATAATTTAATTGCTTTTACAGTTTTCTGGGAGTTTATTCTAGATTAGTGAAGCATAAGAACTAAAAGCTGCTTTTTCCATATTTGATTCTTGCACAGCAAATCTGGAATGTGTTTTGAAGCCAAACTGATTAATAGACCAATGGGAGTATTTAAAAAGTATTCTCTGAGACACAGGTGTAAGAACTTTAGAACTGAGGTGATTTTCTCATTGTTCTTACTTTTAGTGAGGATGTGGGCAGTAGCATTGGGGATCAACAACAGCTGTATGATTGAGTACTCAGGCAGACTTTTGAAGATGCTGTTCATTTAAATAAAGATGAACACATTTGTTTATTTTTCAAGGTCTTACAGATACATTAGTCCTTTCATCTTTGAGCTGTGCTCTAGATGATAGAAGGCTTACATTGTTACTATCTTAATGAGCCTCTGAAGGTTCAGGTCTGAGACCATCACTACAACCAGATTTGGAGCCTCATTGGTGGTTTCTGGCTATATTAACTGAAGCTGCATGATAGATACTCGCCTGGTGATAGATAGTGATAGATAGTCGCCTGGTGACAGTGTTCTTTAATTGCTGTGTGTCGACTGCATAGTTATGGTAACTTATGTTGTTGTTTATTAAGATATGAGATGTGGTTGGGGGCTGAGGTGTGGGGGACTCTAGATATTAAATTGGAGGGGCCCTAAGATTGACCCTTGCAGAACGTCACATGGTTTTTGTAGACTCTGATGTAAAGTTAAATGCTGTCCTTCAAATAGGGTGTAAATCTGTTCAGTGCTGTACCAGAGGCCATACCATACCATACCATACCATACCATACCATACCATACCATACCATACCATACCA